TAAATGCAGAGAAAGAAAAAATTTTCAGTGATTAAAAAATCAAAAATTTGACTTCCTTTTATAGTCATTTTCAGTAAGGAACACGTCTGTTCAGTGAAATCTGTTCAGACCCATTTTATCCAGAAAGTTGTGTCTTTTGGAAAAAATAACAACTTTTCAAAAAATTGTGTCTGTTAGGAAAATAACTATTTTTTGAAAAGTAACGACTTTTCGAAAAGTAACGACTTTTCGAAAAGAGTAACAACTTTTTGGAATGTTACCGTTACCTGCAAATTTATAAGAAATGACTTTTCATTTGCACTTTGCAAATGACTTTTCATTTTCTCTCCAAAGTAGTTCCCTCACTTTTGATATTTTCTCTTTTCTTTTTCCATTCACACTTTCTAAAACCCAACAAAACCTCCAAGTAAATTTTATTAGCCGTGTAAGATTCTAATAAATTTAACACATAATATCTTTTAATAAACATGTCAAGTTTAGGATAAAGAATCAAAACAAATACATACCAACAATAGAAAACTCTTCCACGCAATTTTTATTTTTTAAAAAATCATAAAATCTACTAGCAATACATTACATTTTTAGTGGCTGAAATAAATGATTGTTAACTGCTTAATTTCAAGATTTATGACCAAAAAAAAAAGGAAAGAAAAGGACTTAGTACATATCCACTATTTTTTTTCTCTGTGTCTCTAATAATTAAGATATGCCAATTGCATGTACGTACTACTTGTTGTGATCAATTGAGAGGAAGTGATTGAACCAAAGAAGATAAGATTTGTTGTCGAGTTTCTCTATCTTGAACACCAAATCCATCTCCATTTTGATATATAAAGTGTGTAACACGAGCAATATTCATTATATACTTAATTAATGGTGATGAATTCTCAAAACAATGTCTGTTCATTTTCTTCCATGTTTCTATCACCATCTCTTCGATATGCTTCCTTGCTACATCCTCCTTAACATTTTCCTTCCTCATGTAACACAAGATAGATGAAGACACGTCACCTCTTTCCAATTCAGCCTGTTATATATAAATAATGTACTCGAAAATGTCAGATTGAATATTTTAATATCTATACACTTATCATGTAATTCTTTCACAATATTATTTATGTAATTACTCACAATAAGGAGAATTAATGAATATATAGGAACAACATAAATTCGAAATTATATTTGTCCTACTAAATATATTAGTCTATACATTTAAAAAAGAATAATCTAATTGAATTGATTAAAAAAAATAGACTTTTCAACCTTATTGTCCTAAATTAAAGTTATTCAATTTTAGCAAAAATATGATTTAATTTTCTAATCTTACACATATCATGTGGAAAGTTGAAATTAAATTATGACCAAAAAAAGAAAATGAGGGATTCTTTTTTATACCGACTAAAAAAAAAGTAAGTCATTTATTTAAAACGGAGGGAGTAGCAATTACTTACTTTTTTAAAAAAGAAAAAATTGAAGTTGGAAAAGGAGAACTGGGGAGGAGATGATAATGTGAGAAATTGAACTCTCATCAACAAGGTGAGAATTCAGATAACCAACTAAGCTACTAAGATTTCGCGGTTATAATTACTTACCGTTGAAGTCCCAAGGTCGTTTCCAAGCCTGATTATAAGGGATGAATAGTATATAAGGTCTCGTTCATTTTCAAGAAAATAATCAACTTGGGAGAAATCTTGAGCCAAACCAAGAAGAACATGAAGAGATAGCACAGTGCCACCTGATGATTTCCATCCATTTTCTAAATATTCACTAAATGTTGGTGTATAACCCTTTGAATCCCACTTAGCTTCCACAAGCAGTGCTTTGCAAAATTCTGCCCACTGAAAACGTTTTATTTCATGTTAAATTTGTGTCATATATATGTAGTACTCATTAATTAATCAAATCATAGACAATAATTAAATTAACTATATATATATATATACCACTTTTTGTAGATATGTTAACACTGGAAATTTGCAGCCTTTTTGTTGTTGAATTTCAAGAGCTACATCATTTGTGGTATCATATAGTTTCCAAAAACAGATTTGCATACATGATGGCAATTGCTCAACCACCTTAGGATCCCATCTGAAAAAAGAAGAAGGAAAAGTATAGAAAACATAATTAAATAATAACAGTATGCTCTATTTAATAAGTCAAACATTTTTAGATAAAACAATCACACGTGATATTAATTTTTGTTATACCTGACAACAGCATCGGTGAATAGTTGTAGGTTTTGCAAAGTGCCATAAATATCGTAGACATCGTCAATTACTATAATGAAAGTGATAGCTTTGGTGAGCCAATTCCTAAAATTAGAATGTTGAGGCTCAAAAGCAACACCCACTGACCACAAAAAGCTTTCGACTATTCGATCTCTGCTGAAGCTCACATTTTCTATCAGTCCCAAATTCCTCCACCACCTACCAAATTAACAACACGACAACCATGTCAATTTCCTCTTCTTTTTACATTAATTTCTCCGAACAACATGATAAGGATAGAAGCTAAGGGCCCGTTTGGATGGGATTAATAAAAACAGCTATAAAAAAGTACTTTTAAAAGTGCTGAAACTTATTTTTAAAATAAGCAGTTATGCGTTTGGATAAATGTGCTGAAGTTGTTATGTCAAACGTGAAAAAGGGAAAAATGAAAGAAAGAAATGTTAGGGTTGTATGAGTGATTTGGAGATTGTATAAAAATATTAAGAGCAAAAAGATAAAAATGTAGTCAACATAAAACATCTTATAAGCTAAAAAAAAAGCACTCCTACCCCAACTTTTAACTTTTGGCTTAAAATAATTTTTTTTTAACTTAAAATAAGTTATTTTGAGTATTGCCAAACAACTAAATAAGTCAAAAATCAGCTTTTAAGTCAGTTTGACCAGCTTTTAAGCTAGCCAAACAGGCTCTAAGGGCCCGTTTGGATGGGCTT